CAAATGTACAACGTTTCGACAAGGTTTTGTCATCATCAATGATGATGACAAAACCTTGTCGAAACGTTGTACATTTGCTGTCATGTTAAAGTTTTTCTTCATTACCCATTTAAGCCGTCTCCAGCCATTATTATACCCCAACATATTTTGTTTTTAATTCTAGAATCTATAGTTTTTCTTACTAAACTTCCTTCTCAAATAAAGTTCCCCAAATATCGAAGTATGAACATGTGTACAGGTTTGTAATTTATTTAATTCTTCCTAAGCCTATTTTTAGTGTGTATCTAACAAGATGCATCTGACCAGTGAATAACCAGTATTTAGGGTATATTAAAATATTCTATGAATTAAATCAATACCTGTTGGAATAATTGAAGATTTAATATTTTTTCCAAAAATGTCTGCATAGAAGGTCTTGACTGGATAAATTTTCGTGGGTCAAAGCTGATTTTTTCTCCTAATTGCAATTTCAGAGCAACTCTATAACCTCCAATCAACTGGACCATAGCACGTAAAAAGGCACGAGCCACTCCATCGCCTAGCATAGCATTGGGGTTTTTCAGGTTTTTTTTCAAAGAAGTAATCTTTGGTGGAAAAAGAGGGGAAAATAAATATATTATAATAATATTTTTTATTTATAATCATGGCTAGAAAAATATTTCATAAAAAAAATGTATAAAAAAAGAAAACTGAATTTGTACCTAGACTGCACAAAGAAATAATGTGATCAATGTCTCATACTTGTATTGCAAACAACAGCTACAAACCATACAGTAACAGTTTTGTTTGGTGAATTTAAATAACAAATATAATCTGAAAACAAAATATAAGTATTTCTAAAATAAAATGGCAACTTGTTTTCAAGCATTTTTTCATAATAAACATATGTAACGTAAACATCATTACCTTACAGTTTGTCAATTAATCTTGTAATAATTTTCTTATGCCATGATTACTTTGTTTTATATTAATATACATTTTAATCAGCTTGTTCGTCTAGAACTTCTCTCACTTTGTACAACTTTTTTTTAGTTTGATTGTTATTAGACACATTGCAACTTTCAAGAACAATAAGTTTCTTTTTATCCATTTGACCAATGAGACCATATTTTGAAATGTGAATAAAAATATTAATATAAATACAGTATATTTAACAAGTTCCTTATGAAAAGTTGAAGATTTACTCTATATTAATCCTAACTCGCCCTTAGACTTACTATTTCACCAGGCAGTGTCTGGAGGTCATCAAAAGGAGTGTAAATCTTGTTAGCATCGGCATCCAAGAGTACCACCTCTCCCAGTTCAGTCTGGTCGACCTGCTGCAAGTTATATTACCTTTACATATTTTATAATTCCAATAACACAGGGTAATGATGCCTTAAATATTAACACAAAAAGTTTTTTTTTTTATATTCAATGAAGAATTGCATCAGATTGCTGCTTCGTCAGAAAAAATCTGATTAAAAGCATATGAAAAGCAAAGGCTGTAATACAGTGGATTACACACAAACATGACAGTAGGGCCAAAGAAACATAATGCGTATAAACAATACTTTTAATATCAGAATAACTGACTTAGAAAAATATTTTAACACAATCTTTTGATATTTCTTTTGTGATGAATTACTCTGATCATGAATTAATAACAATTATCCAAAAGATTGTAAATAGTGCTCTTATATATTACAAATAAATGTTCTTTGTATCATAATTTAGCAGAAATATTTTCTTTTAATTTACACTAGGTTTCAAGGAAATACCCTATTCTCAGCTAATTTATAAAACAAATCACACTTTCAATAGCCTTTACTTGTGATTCTTTTGCAAGTACACTAAAGCAATAACTTCAACAGTCAAAGAAAAAGTTTTGTTTGTTTTCAAAAGCAACATATGTTTGATTCTAAGATCTTAAATTCTACAAGGAGGACTGAAAAGATCACTGACCAAAGGTCAATGTTAGAGTTGGTATTCAAAAACCTCACTGAAGTACATAGGAAATTTAGAATTTTTTTAAAACCAATTTCAGGTCAATGAAGTAACCAGAAAGAAAATAAAATAATTTTATATTTTGTTGCTCTGTTGTGCACAAAAAATATTTTTTTATGTGTGCAAATAAAATGATTATAAAACGTCATTTTAGCATGTTTGAATTCTCTAATGATAAAAGACTTTAATGTAGATTATGATTTTATTTGAATATTTCGTCATATTTACAGTATTATTTCAACTTATCCTCAACTTGTATTGCTTAGATACTTTTATATGTTATAAACTACTGTATGATGATGTCTTTCTGCTAAAAACTAGTTCAAACACCTAAAATTCTGGATTTGGCAGTATGGTAAATGATGAGCAAATTTTTACATATTTGCTTTTCAGAAGTAGATTCCATTTTCAATTTTAAGAAATAATACTGTAAAAAGTCACAATATTCAACTAGAATAAGAGCCTACATGAAATTCTCTTATATGTATATGTAAGAATATATGAGTGAAGGAAAAGGAGAATGTGTGAAGATGATGCTGATAATTTTAGTATGATGTGGTAACAGTGTGAATATTAAAAACTTAATGTTATTATCTGTTTCTTACTTTATTCTCTGAAAAGTTCTAGTTTTCTCTATGCAAAGGTATTTTATGTATGAAATTATTAAGAACTTCTGATCAAAAGTAAGCTAACTCTATACATCATAACTAAAATAATTGTAAAGTATAATAAACATAAAATAAGACAACTAAATTGTATATGTAGAAAACTAAAAAGAAATAATAAATTACATTAAATAATCAGCCAAGTATCTTCACCGTTAGCAATATTTTTGAGTGTTATATGTACTTTTGGATACTTTAAATAACCCAACAGGAAAAACTTTATATGTCTCACAATACTGTTATTTTCTTTACTACAGGTTATTTTTAACAATATATCAAAGCAAAATTAAAACCCTGTAACAGGTGCATGAAAAGTATAACTGAATATTAAAATAACTGCTAGTACATACCGACATTGTTGGTTCTGAGACACCAATTAAAAAAGGCATCGGAGCACTAGAGCACAAATGAAGGAGATATTAGTTATTTAACGTAAGATAACACAAACAGTTTTTATTCCAATCATATCAGCTAAAGAAAGCTTCTTCCAAAAAAAAAAACTGATATTAGAATAAAATTACATGATAAACTTCGATGGAACCATGAACATTTAATTTATATGTAAATATGGATATACACAGCCTTACCCAAGTAATTAAACGGACAGTAGAAGTTATTATGATTTAGAGGATTATGTGTACAGACAACAGAAAAGTGTCAGAAGTACATATTATGCATATTATAAACACAACAAATGGCTTAAGGAATTACTAAAAAATTGAAATGTAATGTTGAACATGTTCATCATATGTATTTTGTTTACTATACAGTCATTTTTAAGTAAACTAGACAAAAAAAAAGGTTTCATGGAATATAAGTTTTAAATCAAATTTCTGAATGTTTTTTTAATCAATCACAAAATCTAATAACTACCAATAAATCTATTCATATAACTTTGTCACACTTAGAAGGATTATAGAAAAAATTTATATGTTTCAAACAAATGTATAAAATTTTAGAAAATATTGGTAAATTTAAGTAAATTTCAATATTTACACAGCTTATCATGTTAGAACATAATTCATATCAGATACTTACAATATTGTAGGTTTGAAAAATAACATTTAAATACATTTAATTACCTTACCTTAAATAATCGAGTAGACGCACTGGTAACACTGGAATAATTATATGTTGCCTGGAATTTAAAATATGAGAGGATGCTCAAAGTTTGATTTGCTTTAAAAATATTCTGTTTTCAACAAATATTAATGGACATTAACCATTGAGAAAATTTTAAGAAACTGCCAGTCACTTTTATAATGTACCTGCAGCTTTGAGCGTGTTGAATACTTTTTCGTTATTGCACGTATTTGAACCCGGTTCACCAGCTACAAAATCCAGAGTTGTATCACCCCATGCCCAAACAAATAAATGAAATAACATATGGTTTGAAAATATTAAACTAACTTCAAAGCACTTTACATAACGTTGTTTAGAACCTGTTGTAAAACCTACAATAATTTATTTTATTTTAGTTCCAATAAAAAATATTTTATCTTAAAGGATTTCAAAAACAAAATGAAATGTAAGTATGTGTGTGTGTGAAAACATTATTTCAACGGTTAAGTAAATACTAGCATCAAAAGGAAGACCAAACTTGTGATGAAAAAAAAAAAGAACATATCTTTGAAGAGCAGTCACCTTCTCGCAAATGTCTGTAGGCGGTAATGGGTGATATAGATGTGGGACATTGTGGGTTTGATGTTTGTTTGTAATTAAGCACAAAGCTACACAATGGGCTATCTTTGCTCTGCCCACCATGGGTATCGAAACCCAGATTCTAGAGTTTAAGTTCGCAGACATACCGCTGTGCCACCTGGGGAGGTGTGGGTTTGAGCACCCACATCTTGCTCTCCTAATTTATTCTTATTTTCCCTACTTATTTTATGTTTATTCTTTTTTCTTCAACATGTGAAACTAGCAAATGGAGGTTAAGACTGATAGATGGTGTATCCCTACCACATTGTGGGTTATAATTCCAGTCACTTCCAAAACCCAGGGCATTATAGTTTGTGCCTTGGTGATCTTTTTAATATATGCAGCATTTTTGTTGTAATTTTTAAGGCTTGGTTTGATAAATGAATTTAAATATATGTATATACATAATGCAGGGGGGGAGCACATTTTATACAGTGTGCGTGATGAAGAAACTTCGGGCCAAAAGTGTTGGAAGCTACTGCTCTAGCCCAACATAGAAAATCATACATACACATTCCTTCACCCACAAACACAGAGAACAGATTTTATCTTTAAATAAGAAACACCTAAAATATGCAGAGATAAACAAGCTTAGTATGCATCTTCCATTAGTTTCAATATTTTTTTGTGTACAGAAAATAATAGATCTTTATAAACCTTCATTTCACAGTTTTCTAAGTGATCCTTCAAAATTACCTTATTTTCTCTTATGGACTAATTAAAAAAAAGTTCTCTTTTAATTTTGTTTTTACTGTGAGCTTATGATCTCTTATATTATTTTACACTTTATGTGAAAAATACCTTTTTTTTTCCATATGTTGTGTTTCATAAATGAATCACCATTTTTTACAACTCCTTTTGTTTTCACTAAATTAAATTTCAATTAATTCCCATAAATGAATTAATGTTCCCGTGCCCTTAAACTAGGAAAGTTTCAGTTTTCCCAAGACATAAAGAAAAATAAATGACCACTATACAAAACTTATGGAACCTCACCATTGCATAGGGTATAACAGAACACTTGCAGCCTGAACACAAGCAGTTAAGCGACTCAATCTTTTAGATGTTATAACTATTCTCCTTTCATGAAGCAAGCTAGGAACATAAAACAAAAACAGAGTAATGAAGTAATAATATTCACCAGTTATATAAACATATTCAGAACTAAGTAAATGTTATAAATGTAGCAAAAAATTTTACATCTTAATGTTGAATCTTAAAAGATCAACAACTATGTCAAAAGTTAACCAAATGAGGATGAAACCTATGAATAAAAGTGAAAAAAGAATTACCTTAAAACTCATGTAAAAATGTTTTTAACATTTTCATACAAAACAAATTATAAGCATTATTTCACAATATATAAGCAAATGTTTCAACAGTTTTTGGTTACTATGATAACAAAAAAAAAAAAGACATTTCGAATTGATGTTTACCAGAAGCCTAGTTTTATGATTATGATTTATCTCTGATAGCTTTATTTTACAAAATCCATGTAAACATGATGCTTTATTAGTCTTTACCTGAAGATGTATTATATTTCAACAACAAGTTATTATTATTTTTTTTAATTTCGTGGAAAGCTACACGAGGGCTATATGCACTAGCCGTTCCTAATTTAGTAGCGAAAGACTAGAGGGAAGGCAGCTAGTCATCATCACCCACTGCCAACTCTTAGGCTACTCTTTTACAAACAAATAGTGGGATTGACTGTCACATTATAATGCTCCAATGGCTGAAAGGGCGAGCATGTTTGGTGGGACGGCTAATGGGAAAACAATTCCAAGACCTAATTTACTGATTTTAACACAACATGAACTTCCCCAAAATTAAATACCTAATAATTTATTATATTATTAAAAAAATGCAGTAACAGCTGTTTGTTTGTTTCTTGATAAGTAAAAAACTACATAATGGGCTATCTGTACTACAACAACCATGAATATCAAAACCTGGATTTTAGTGTTATAAGCGATCAAACTTATTGCTGAGTCACAGCTGTACAAAATCTTTTAACAACAACTGAAGCACCTGAGCTATAACAAAAACTTATTCAAGCAAACAAAAAAAAAGACTGACACAAGACATTAAAAGAAATTCTAAATGATTGCCCATTTTTAATCCATGAATTAAGGAATTCTTCAACATTTATAGTTCACTAAGTTACAAGGTCCAATTAGTAACTTTTTGTCCAAAATATTACGACTTTATTCCTAGGGATAAAAGTACATATTATGATCAAAAATAAATTTCAAAAAAAAATTTATAAACGCTAATGATTTTGTTTGGAACATACTGAAATCAACCCAAAGCCAAAATTTGTTGTTGTTTTTTTATGTATACAATTAAGTAAATTGAGTTGTTTTTTGAAATAGATTAAAACTCTAATAAAGTTTTTTACTTTAAATGTGTGGAAGAATTCTTTCTAGATTTTCTTTCTATAATTATTTTTAGTTTAATGGTATAATTCTTTCTTCAAGGCAGAATGCATCCATCTGAGTGTGATAGTTAAAGTTAGAAATATAAATGTTGTTATATTCTTTTAAACCATAGAAAAATACCAAAAACTAATGATGATTATGTGATCAGACAATTTCAAAAATGAATAAATTTAGCTGGGAGGACTTTATTTTTTTGAAAACAAAAAAAAAGGACTTTGAAAACAAAAAAAATATTACCTGCAAAAATATGTGCTCAAAAATGACCATGAAAGATTAAACATTTTACAGTTTCATTAATTGTAAGTTTTTACATAGTCTGAGCACCATTTTTAAACAAGTTAGGTCCCCACAATAAACCAACAAAGATATAATATAAATCTTTTAGTTTTTGGTTCTATGCACTCTAAATACTTCAAACTCAGTAGCCATAACTGAATACACACATAGAAAAAACCCATTAAATTGTTTGATACACTAAATTACCTAAAAATTACAATAGTAATAACTCAAACAAATGTTAGCGACAAAAAAAGGTAAGAGATTAGCTAAAACTACTTGATTTCCTTAACTTCTTTTTATAAAGTTTTTAAATAAATTCACACTTGCTACTCTTATGCTTTATCAGATGGCTACATGCGAAAAACATAGGAAGAAAATTATCACAATTTACAAACACTTACCTTGCAAAAAGCATTATCATGTTGTGTACATCAACAGCACTGAAGTATTCCATGAGGTTTCTCTGTTAAATAAACATTAGTGCTTTAAATTAAGCTTTATCAATGTCTTTTGCCTTAGCTTCAGCTAGTTACAAACAAGATACTTAACACTTTTAATTTCAAAATATCGGCAGAATCTCCAGTACGGATCCATGTGATATAAAACACCAAGGATGAAGAAAGTCCAATTTTGGAATAGTTAACAAATTTAAAACAGCTCTTTAATTTATCACGTAGTGGTTCTTTTATTACATCCTGCTGTTTATTCTGATTCTGAAAGTCCCGAGTTAAAATTTAAAGTGAACATGTAACCCAAAACAACTTATATGTCATCAATTTTTTTAAAGTAACTAGAAAATTACAAGTTCAACATAGAAATATACTGGTTCTCTTGCAGATTCTGAAAAAGGAGAGGTGTGTGTGGGGGTGGGGTGATACTATATTTCTACTCTGAAATTCCATATTTTATTTCTTACATACTCTTAAGACTAAAAATGTTTCTAAATTATAAAGATAATGTTCAATGTTACAAGCAGTAAAAACTTTTGAAATTATTTACTGAGATAGCAGTTGTAGTTTTCTGGTTTATTGATAATTAAAACATCACAGTAAAGACAAACTATTAATTAAAGGAAATTATAAAACAAAATATTATTTGTTAGTCTACACACCCAAACCAATTGACAAAACTTATCCATGTTTATACTAAGACTACCTTAAATAATCTATTATCAATGCCAAGAGAAGTTTACATTGTAGCTAAAAACAAAATGCAATGCTATGCCCTAAACTGAAATCAACATTTAATCCAAAATAAATTTTGTTTTTCCTCCACAATAAACTTCATTTAAGAGAGAAAAAAGACATCACTTTAAAGAATGACTGAAGAACAAAACTTTCAAACATACATTTTCAGGAATAGCTGGTAACTTCCTGTGGTCAGGGCACTGTGCCACGAACTGCTGTAAAGATCAGAGTTAGAATATAAACAAAGGCAAGAAATATTTGTTACTATAAAACCACACAACTAAGTTGGTAGACAACTGCAGTAAGTAAGAATTTGTTGGACGAGAACATCTGTGAAGAATGTGATAGCAAGGCAGTAGAATTTATAGTACTTTTCTTTTGCATTTCCTGAAACTACAGTAGAATTTAAGTACTTCATTTCATTTTATAAGAATGTGTTCAAACAGGCTGAAAAAATAAAAGTTACAATAACACTTCTAAAGCATGAACATAGTTAATACATTAACTACCTTTGACATTAATGACATTCTAATTAAGAAGTTAGCTCACAGGATCACATACAAAAGCTGTAATGGTCCTCAAACGAGAACCAAAAACTCGTTAGCTTTCGAATAATTCACTATTATTATTATTATTCTTCAAAAACGCTCGAGTTTTGGCTCTCATTTGAAAACTGTTACGACATCAATGACAAATGTTCTTGTAGATTATTCCCAATCTAATTATCATAAAAACTTAAAACATCTTATGAACTTCCAAACTGTTACAATAATGGTTAAACTAACATAGAACACAAATAACAATGAAACTTATCTGTCTGGTTTCAAACAGTTGTTTCCATAAACATTTTTCACAATGTTTTTATAAAACAAAATAAACAAATAATTTTATGCATTCAAAACTCAGTCTTCTTCTAAATCTACATCTTTTTCTTGGTGCACAAAGATTCAACGAATAAAATGATCAGTAATTATCAATAACTTCTGATCAAAGCAAGCCACCTACATAGATTAGACCTAACAATTACCCCAGTAATTAATGTAGCTAATTTTAACATGCCAGTCTAACAGTGAACAGGCAAGGTCCAAAAAAAAAAAGAAATATATATATATAGACATGTGTATTCATCAGAATGCATTGATTAATTACATGGATACCCTCACTATTATTGATAGTTTTGGTCATAATCCCAATAAAGGGCCTGATACTCATAGCGTAGAGAAAACTTTCAATTGAATTTGGGGACATAAGAATCCCCTTCCCCCCTCCTGACATCCTATACTTGCTGTAAAAATCAAAACGATGTAGGCAACATTAGATAGAAACTTATTGGCATAATATGGCCACTGCCAGATTCATGATTGCTATACTGCATTAACAATCTTTCTCCCTTTGACAATGAATGCCTGTAATTCTAACTACTAATGTTGAGCCCACATGTAAATATTGAAGTTACGTTAAATCCTTTGCAAAATACGTAGGGCTAGAGCTTTCGAACTCCGGTTTCAAGCAGCATAAGCGAATGAGAATGGTGACCCTTACCCCTAGATGGGATGTTAGTCCATTGCAGGCTAACTCCCAGCTAACAGCTGATACCCATTGTACAACCAGGTAGACTGGAACAAGCAGAGTAAAGTATCTTGCTCAAGGACTCAACACCATGACATAGGCCAGCGTCAATATCACAACCATCCGACTAAGAGTCCAAAGTTCAAAGTAACTAAGCCAAGCTGCCCCCTCCATGTAAATTATTCATATTAATAAGAATCTCAAAGAATACTCACAGACCACGACTTAATATTATCATCACAGCTAGGTTATATTACATAAGTATTTAGCAGAAATGGGGAGATAAAATATAATGACACAACTAAAAAAATGAACATTCTAAAGTTCAATAGAATTAATATTTTGATTTGATTTTTACTTTTACTACTAAAAACAAAACATTATAACATGACTGAAAATTCAAATTCAGTCACTTTCAAGACAACTTAATGATCTACAGAGGACATAAATTAATTTTTAGGGTAATTTTTATATTCCATTATTATGCACTCAGTTATGTCACATAACTACAGCATCATGAAATTTGCATGTAATGTACAGGTAAGGTTATTATAACTTATTTTTGTACATTATTAATACTTTTTAATGTTAACCTAAGGTGTTTAACATATATTTGTAAATTATTGGTGTTTCAGTTGCAGAAAGGTGAAAAAGTATTTTTTTTAATACTGGCAGTAGCTTCTGAAGAGTTGTTGGAGGATTACATAGATCTGTATAATTGCTACTCTGGTAATTGTACATCAAAGCACCAAGTGGGATTACTGATACATAAGTTTGAAATAAAAACATCTGGAAATATACTCACATTTAACTTCCAGTTATGTGAACCAAGAGAAGATTTTATGAAAAAAACAAAAAAACAAACTGAACCTCAATGAAAGGTCAAACATATTATGTATAAGGAATAATGCAGGAATTAAAGTTGCAATTTTGAATCATTTTGTTTGGAACCTGTAAACTTCTCAAAAACAAGTCTTACTATTAAAAAATGTATTTGTAAAAAACAATTAATATTAAAAATTCTCTTACATTTTGGTCTTTGTCCCACAAAACATGTAGAGTATGTCCAGGATTTGGAACTGGTATGTGATACAAAGCCCCAAGAAATGTCCAAACAGCTTCCTGAAGGAAACATAAATATTATAAGTAAAACACACGGTTTGATCACCTTACAACTTCAAACATTATATAATTAGGTGAATCTAATTCAGTGAAAGTGAACAGACCAGCCATAGTGTTGCTATCTTTAATCAATATAATTAAAACAATCTGAATGGTTCATAGATTTCTTTTATTAGCTATTAGGAAGCATGCTTTGTGCTTTGTTATTAGGATATGAAAAAAAATAAAAGCTCAGCCCTTACTTTCTTTACAAACATAGAAAGCTGAAACCTTATCCATTACTTTTTTACAAAGATAAAATCTTAGCCATTATATTTATACAAGAAAACATGAAATATTACATATTTTGAAGCATGCCTCAAAAATCTTTTACCAGTCTTCTAAACTGAAACTTACCTCATTCTTCGATGCAATTTCAGAAACATAGTTAAGGAGTCTATAAAAGGTTTCATGCCAAGGAAGAGCACTGTTATTTTCACCAATATAAGAAAAGAAAAGATATAAATGAAAAATATAACACTAGTTCAAAAATACACTAGGCTTTATATTAGTATAAAAGTAACTTTCATACTTTAAGATCAGAGTTCAACAAACACAAGTGCCTTTTGAAATTGCTACAATGTTCGATTCATAATTGTAAAATTTAATAATTATAAGGTGCAAAATATAAAAATAAAATATAAAATAAAACATTTCTGGAGGAGTGTACAAATTGAAATATCATTGCTTCTAACTCTATCTTACTTTCATTGTAATTTAATAAGTATTTTAATAATGAAATTAAGTAAGGTGTGCATGTCATAATTCTAAAATTAAGCTTTTTAGAAGTTAAAAAAAAGTTCAAAATGACATTTACCCCCACTGTTGTGGTGTTTTTTTCTCATGGTTTTTCCATGTGTAGACCAATAAAACATGTCTCTATTTCTTTTTTTACCCTATGTTACTCGATTTGCAATCATTTTCATATAATCTCAATTCTCATGAGATTTTCAAGTGCCTCATCATGTATCCACATGTTCTTTATACAGACTGTCTTATTTAAAAATCTGGCACCAACTGTATTTACTTGACTTACACAACACCTTCTATGGTCACGTGTTAATGCCAACATCCCATTGTAAGTGAATCATGAGGGAATGTAACAGAAGAGTTAAGATCTTTTTTAATACCATTTTCACTCTAAAATATTATTTCCAATACACTTTTTTATCTCTACTATTATCATACTAAAATCCCCATAGAGATAGGACTGGAGGAAGCAAAATGAAAATGAAGAGTCCCCTAATGAAACATTAAAAACAGAAGTATGGCAAACTAGGTTCGAAGCCAGTCAACACTTCAGTAAAATCATGCAAATGATTAAGAAATCTGTACACACAGAATCTTGATACCCAGCTATTGCTAGCCCTATGATAACAAAAAAAAGAGCAAACTATGAACTTGTTATGAAGGAAGAGTACAAAGAGTTACCAATTGAGGAAAATGTTCAGGCGAAATACCAGATCAGATTTATGGGAATAACTCATCATGTTGGATGGTCTGCAAATGTAATGCAATAGGTTCTGAAAGTACTGTACACATATAACTTAAAGTGAACCTCATTTCAAAGCCCAAGCAAAAGGTTGGGCATGCATTACAAAATTAAAATTAAGTAACTGAATAAGAGTAGTGGTAGATAGAGCTGGGCAATGTAATCGATTACCAATGAGCAGTGACTACATTGATTAGTGTCAAGTAAAATAACTGAGTGATTGAAATTACAATTAAACTGTCTTATGTTACAGATTTGCTTACGAGTAAACTGGAATACACAATGTATTCACAATGAAAGGAACAATAACTGAATAATTTTGCACATAAATTGAAAAGTCAGGCTAACACAAGCTTATAAAGTAATATTAACAAAGCAAATTTACTTATTCATAACACAGGCCTGTGAATTTAAACTTCATAAAAGTTATTTTGGTTTTAATAAGTGATTTTCCATAATTCAGCTACGCAGATTTCAAAAATAATATTTATTTTTCTATTTCATAAGAATTTTTTACAAATCGGGGAAAAAAAAAACTCTTACTTAGATCAAATCATTATTTTGTTTACCACAATGAACATTTTTATTATCATGTTTGTTATATTTGGGTTCTAGAATGATCGATAAGACTCTCATGTTACGATTGGTCTAGAGAAATCTATAGCCAGTGGTTGTCAACATTTTAAGCATGACAAAATGTGACCCGATTTCAATGAAAATGATTCAATTATGTAAAAGTACCTGTGATGTTTTGTGAAAAATCTGTATGTGATGGAGAAAAATGGATATCCTTTTTGGATTCAGTGTACAAGAATTACTGTAGAACATATACAAATTTCAATAAAATAAAACCATCATAGGTCTGTGTAATTAGTAAATTTTTTTTGTTATCAATAATGGTAAAGAACATCATATTTTATAAGTATCTATTTATCTATTGCATCAGTCGTAACACAATTTCCAGGAATAATAAAGCAGGAGAGAAGTACGTCTATATTGAAATAAGTTATTTATAACATCAATGTAGAAAGTAACAAGGAAAAAAAAATTCACTGCCATCCACTTGCTTCTTTAACCTTGTAAAATTTATGTATCTTAATGATATTTTATCAATCTACATAAACATTTTGGATTCACTTTATTTTAAAAAAATAAATAAAAGAGAGAGAGATGAAACAGGTTAAAAACTTTCATCAGTTAAGAATTAGCGTTCTTTAATAAATTCTCTAGAATGTCTTAAAAACAAAACCTTGATACTTACCTGAGAAATACATAAGAGGTAGGGGTGTCAGGAGCATGCCTGCAGTATCCAAAAGTCCACCTACTGTCAATATTTGTGAGGATAAATGAAAAATGCTGGACATGCTTACTGCAATAAAGGAAAAAAATGAATTTTTGATTTTTCTATGTAATCGACTTGAAATGCACACATAAATATATCCATCAAAACTTGCTTTTCTGAACTGCTAACAATTCCCTTAAATTCTCAAAAATGTAAACATGGTAAATTGAATAGATTAAAAACTATTAATCACTACTAACAATGTTCAGCTACATCTAAAGAAACAAGAATATTTAATTTTTAAACTTTAAAATCAAAATCAGTGCATTTTTTGCAGTTTTGTTTTACACATCAAGCTGATTTATCTTCAGCATAGCTTTTATATATATATCATCTATTCAGTACATTTGTTGTCCATAATTTTATATTTATATACAATGGTGTTCATTTTAACTTTCATATACCAAAGTGTTCTTCATCATCCTAACTCGTGTACCTTATGGTACTTTGTTTAGTTTACTTTTCAGAGGGCCCAAAAAGTTTAATAATATTGTTTGACCATTACATTTGTTTTGCATAATTGTTAATACATATTACCACACTATCAGTGGTTGACTACAAAGTCAGAGTATAGATTTCTAGACTTAGTGTAGTCAAGTCTAGGTCGATGTTATAACTTTTGATTGGTTATGACTTACTGTTTTGTTGCTGCTTGCCAAATAGTACATGGTAGCCAGATAGCCTGATTTAATGGTTTGTCAAAAGACTTCTAAAGTCTAACACTGTGTTTGTTGTTATTTCATAAAATATAAGTGTTAACATGCTATTCATGGTGGAATTGCATTAATTATGTATAACATCCTCTTAAATGTTACTGCTTTAAACTTTTCTTGTCTACTTTAGCATAAGGATAACATAATTTTAAATTTTGTTACACAGTCAACGCATAATTAGAAGTTTTATAGAGCATAATGTTAAACTGTTGGACACGTGATTGTAATTGTTTGACGCATTAAACATCGAGGCCTTTCTTACACACATTTTACTATTCTTCTTCAGCTATCTTTCTTCTCCTGAACTTATTTATTTATGAATTTTGGTGTTTTTCTTAAAGCCTTATATAAATATGTATTTGTGTTCTTCAGTTTTTCCTTGATATATCATACTATTACCATTTACTAACAATTACCTTAAGTTTTGTAAAACTTAATGCATCTTCTACATATTATGCAAACCTTTCGAGTGTAGAAAATTCATACAGTTGCTCAGTAAATAAAGTTGTTGAGTTTTACTAAGAGCACTTTAAGATAAAAAAAAAGTACACACACCTTTTTCTTTTATAAGATGACTGAATAAAGCTTAGTAATATAATAGAAATTGATTATTGTATATATTTTTCCTCCTATTATAAGAACTTCTGGGTGAAAATAAAGAAAGGTGAATAGTAATATATCAACCACACTATATCTGCTTTATGTAAGGCTGATGAGGCCTTTAACTGGATACCACTTCTCTTCAGGCTGACTACGATATGACAGACACAACAATGGTTGAGATGGTATTTGTATTAGCAAATTGCTTTGAAAAAAAAACTGTTTCAGTGTGATCTACATTAAGTTGGTGAAGTGTACTTTTTTATCAGTTTCATTTAAGTTATTAAATATCAGAATTTTGATGGAACTTTTTTAACACTATATTATTTGTTAAACTTGCAGACAATACAAAACAAAAACTTAACTTTAGTTTGAAAATGAAATGTAAAAGAATAATTTCTTACATGGTGAATTCACACGGAAAGGCAAATTCTGGTACTGACTTGAGAATCTCCTGAAAAACAGTAGAAAAGTCATAATCATGCAGAAAATGTAATAATGAATATAATTAACAGTAACTCTGCTGAAAGCAAGGAGCTTGTATATAAATTAAAAGATATGTGTTAAAACTTAAAGAAGTTTAACTTTAAAATTAATTTTGAATCACAGCATAGTGGCTCATAGAATGGCTCTTTTTGTTTTATCAAGTACAAACTTCTAGCTCATAGCTCTGCCATCTCTTGACTGATTTGAGATCTAATTACAGTTTTTGACTCAAGAGGTCAAACCCTTCCACATGATGTACTTGACCATGTTCAAGGTCTCATAGATTAATTTACTCTAATCCTGCCTAAAAGAATTTCAAGTACTGCTGCATTTAGAGTAATTTTTAGCCTGCTTGTGTGCATCTAAGTCTAATATTATGGCTGGAAAGTCTAATTTTTTATTTTTAGATAAAACATAATCTATGTAAGGTCTTATGTAGAGTGATTTAATGGCCTAAAGCTCTAAAAAGGTTCTAAAATACAAAAAAATTATTTCTAATTTATATTGATATTGGTGACTTATTTTTATTTAGATATATATTTTTTGAATGCAACACGGATATAGACAGATATTCATAGCTAGAGAGTGAGAAAAGTACACAAGATCAGTACTTGAATTCCTAGTTCTATACATTCCCTAATCCATTAGATGTGGAGTAGAACTATTTATATTAGTGCAAGAAAATGATACACAGTAATAAAGTATAATCACAATGCTTTAATTCAGAAACAGATCATCTATATAATGCAATTTAAACCAGTGGTTCCCAACCCCTTTTCAACTGAGAACCAGATAGTTCCAATTCCAAAATTTCACAGATTGCTTCATACGATATTAGCTTTAAAAGTACTTTTCAATTACATCATAAAATTATATACTTCAAAAGCTATATTTTAAAACACATATTTTTCTTTCATCTTTCTTGAGGGCAAGCTGATATCTCCTGTGGATTTGCAGTTGATAATTAATTATCTAAATATAATTTTGTAGGAAGTGGCACTATTTCTCAAACTAAATTATCTGTCTTCAAACTATTTATAATTAAAAAATATACATAATTTAAATAATTTAAAAAGTAATACTTTTAAAAGGAACATCAAATTGATTTCTTTTTCTCAAAATCAATGAAATAATTTATTTTTGGCTTTAATTGTTCAATTATATACCGAGGCTCATAGGTATGGAATTTCTTAATAGGATAAATGGATTTTATATTTGAAAGAAATTATGCAATTACTAATAACACAGAAAAATATTTATAACCTTTTCTTTTTCTCATCCAACTATTTATTTCAGATCAAGTGAAACTCTTAGAGCCCCAATGCTGAGTTGAAACTATACTGGCCTTTCAGTATAATAATGTCAAATGCAAAAAAAAAATAAAACTATGCAAAGTATTCCCTGCCCTCAAAAAATGAAACAACACTAACGTTTTGAACATTGATTAAAATGTCCTTGCTCTTACAATCTTTTATAGTAGCAAACAGTCTGAAACCTTAAGAAAAGACAAAAAAATGACTTAGTTATTACATTATTATTTTTACATTACAAATACATCAATTAACTGTCAAAGTAAACAAACTACTTGGTTTTTCTCCTCTATCAAAAAGTGTGTTTGTCTGCTTTGCTTCTTTATAAATGTTTTCAGTAAAAAACAAATAGGTTGTTTACTTTGATGGTTAAAATAATAATCGATGTATTTGTAATGTAAACACAATAATGTAATAACTTCAGTTGACAACCTGGTTACTTAATATAAGGATCGAGTCTTTAAAAGGGCCTAAATTCAAGTTAAGAGTTGAGTTTGTAAATTTTAATTTATATAATTTGCATTAATCAAAAAATATTTATATTACTGTACAGAATATTTCTTACACTTAATGGATTAACTAGTACATCTCCTACTTTGTATGGCTTATTTATTAAAAGTAAGTACCTCTACAGTGAAAAACTAAAGCTAATTATAAAAATTGTGTGTGAAACATGTAATCATAATAGTAGTTCCATCAATAAATTTTTGGTATTAGTATAGAGCCCTGCCCAAACTGAATGCCAGTTTGTTTGTTTCCTTCGTTTTTAAAGAATCTGCTAGTCCTGTTTAAAGTTTATAGATCCACTCACCTCCTCACTGTATTTTTCAGGATAGCTCCGTTGTATTGAAGCCACTGAAAGGTAAAGAATAGTGATGCACTATAATTCTAGAAAATGAAAAAAACAAATTACGCTACACATAGCATTTCTCAAGCTAACGGTCTTTAAAATCAACTTGCAAGAGTCAGGAGTTAAACCATTAAAAAAAAGGGCTATAAAATAATAAAATAATGTTTCACAAGAATGGCTTCAAGTTTACTGCCATAACTATCTAAGTTTATTCTAGAAATTAAAATTGCCTATGAATAAAAAATCACTTAACATATAAATTGAAGTTTGCTATGGTACCATTTACAACTCTCGCATTATCTCTACACTGCCAAAAAAAAACAACAAAAAAGTTACTGAAGCATCTTCCTCAAATTCTGACTGAGAAATAAGGCTTAAACTTCAAGTATCTTTTCAACGTTCTCTAACTAATTTTGTTCAGTGAGAACATTATCTGTTAATTCTTCATCCAATAAAATTTGTAATAGTTTCACAAATGACTCTGTGCAAGCATATAGACAAATGTTTTACGTGTTAAGCTATTTCCAGAGTTTGTAATTTTATATGACATGCTGACTAGTAACATAGTAAAAAGAAAAACATTATAATTTGTCTTAAGATTTTCAATTTACAAGAAAGCTTTGAAGTGTTTCAAAAAATGCTTATGTTGACTCGTGAGTTTAACAACATTACTGTTTGATTATTATTTACACTTATCATAATGCTACACAAGTTATTACCTTCACAACCTCTTGTTGGCACTGATATTTCACAAAAACAGTCAAAAACATGAGCTGGATTTTCTCTGAAAGAGGAGCAAAATTAAATCCAGTTTAATCTAAATATGCAATAAAACAAAATTAAAATTTCTTACTTTAAAAACATTCCCTTCAAGTGTCTTTCTACATTAATTAGAGATGCATGTATACTGATGAGCTCAGACAAACAAAGCTTGCATAGAATAAATGATAAAGTTAAATATATATAAAATGGACAAAACAAGAAAATCATACTCAAACATAAATTTGATTCTGCTTAAAATCATCACACAAGTCATTGCTGGCAGATACTATGGCACAAGTAACATCCTTGTTCAGACATACACAGTTTTTATACTCCCACACACTTCCTAATCACTTCATGGCTTTAAATTGTGTAATAGCCTCAATAAATTGGAAAATTGAACATAATGGGTTAAATTGTTGACCTTAGCAGTCTTCATAACAGTGTTAAACACGTACAATTAATGCACACAAGTTAAGAACTGTTTTGGAGAATAGATCAAGAAACATCAGTATGTACATGCAGATAAACCTTAATAAGGTTTCAATTAAATTTAATAGTACTGTCATAACCTGAGAAAGTTCTATTTGTCTAAAAGTAAAAGGTTTTTTTTTAAAACCGCTTCTGACTTCTTGTTTGAAAGAGATACCAGTAAATTCAAATTATGATTTCAATATAATAGTAACACATTACAAAGCTTTATTTACATAGGATGAAATACATTTAGTTTATAAAACTGTATATTCACAAAAAGAAACAACTTAAAGAAGTATGTTAGCTCACATTTTGTCTAAAAATGTTTAAATATTTTCCATAAAGAAAATCCTATGTTTTATTAATTTTCAAAAATACTTTTAGGTAGTGCTAGTTACATACAGATTATTTATCTTTACAAATAATGTAACTTCTGTATTGAGATATCAATTAAATAGACTTTAATTTGTATTTAAAATGTTAGTGTTTGTAAGGAGCTATGAATACATGGGCTTTAGTGAAGTGGGAATTTTTGTGACTAAGGATGACAGGACGCAAATTTCAGATCTGTAAAAAGACAAGGTTGGTTCTAGTTAAGAATTTTATTTTTCTAACAGGGTGATTGACTTGTGGAATGAATTTCTGCTGATAACAGTGGAGGCCAGCACTTTACAAGATGAAGGATAAATGACTTGACACAATACCTGAGGGACAACGAGGGGCTGCTTGACCCATCACGGATGTCCCATTCATTTCACCAAACGTTCATATGCCTATATCCACCCCTAACTCCCCTCAAGTACTCATTAATCCCACTCTTAACCTCTCCCAAATTTGTTGCACCTACCACATATGAAGGTACTCTGTTTGAAATATAAAACTATATAACTTGTAAATGATTTCCACCCTGCCATATTTTAAATGTCTCCTAGTCCTATAACTTTTGAGATTTAACACACAAAAGATGATGCATCAATCCTATCTATCACGTAATAATTATGAACACTTCAATAAGACCCCCCCTCTAACACTTCTTTTCTCAAAAGTTTAAGGGCCTTTCTGTTCTCATATTATATCCCCATTCATTCCAGGAATCATCATATATCCTTTGAACCCTTTTCAACAACTAAATGTCCTTCTTAAAGTAAGGAGTCAGAGGCTGAACAGAATACTCTAAATAAGGCCTAACTAGAGATCTGTACAAACCAGATATATCAATTCTAAACCCTTAAACTCATCAACATAACATAACGTTTTGGGACAACATAGGACCTATTGGTCCATCTCAGCTGTTCCATCCTCTAAACTAAATTAAAATAATTTAAAAAAATTTTTTTAAAGCCAGCTCTTATCATTCATATACTTATCAAGCTGTTTTCTACGCACTTAAATTTACTGCCTCTACAACATCCGAAGGCAACCAATTCCAATGGTTAACCACCCTGTTGGAAAAATGAAACTGTCTTAGCTGAAGATGACTCCTACATTGCCACTATTCTCACTGTTAAATATGAAAAAAGATGATGCATCAACACTATCAATTCCCTTTACAATCTTAAACACCTCAATCAGATCCCCTTAAGTCTTATTTTTTCAAGAGAAAACAGTTTGAGAGATTTCAGCCTCTCCTCATATGACAACCCCTCCATCCCAGGCACCATTCTAGTAACCCTTCTCTGAACTCTTTCCAACAATTCAATGTCTTTCCTAAAGTAAGGAGCCCAAGACTGAACACACTATTCCAAATGTGGCCTAACCAGTGACCTGTACATAAGCAATGACAAATTTGAAGAAGGCCCCTTGTTGGTCATATGTTATGCCATTAGATAATTTTTGCTTTTTCAAAGTCTGTTATTAAAACAGGAATGGTAAGCAGATACAAAAGTACACTTATAAAATGTACAAAAATAGCGATACAAATACCATTTAAATTTTCATTGGTTTGATAAGAATTTATCAATAACATGACACTTAAGGACACAAATGGGGCTGTTGGTTCATTGAGTAATGTAAAGATCTCAAGAAGTTCCCAATATACTTAATACCAAAGCCTCTCCGTCTACCAATAATGCATTTTGTCACTTGAGGACTTGTATGCCACAAATCCAAAGTTAAATATGAAACTTCAAAAACTTTCAAATGCTAGTGTTACAATTACATCATAATATAGCAGATCTTTACAGTCTCTTGAAATATCTTATAACTAAGATTTATTTTAATAATTTTGATCAAAAAAACATATTACATGTAATACGTGATAGATTACCCAAGGTTGTCAATAGGATAAAGTTCTTTGGTTTCTTTTTGATTTATTCAGAGTAGGTCGATAGCACACAAGTATAAGAGTTGAAAAAGATAGGCTAAACTCCAGTTAAGACAGTTTTACTTTTCAAACAGGGAGATTATATATGGAATGAGATGTTGTTGGTAGTATTGGAGGCCAGCACTTTACAATAATTTATGAGTAGAATCAATAATTTCCTGAAAATTAAAGAGTGGGTGTAATTCTTATATATCTCGAAGCTGGGTGTGAAGGGACAGCCCTGAATAACAAATGGTCTCCAGTTGTCTGTGATATTAATAAGAAGTGTAGAGTTGATAACATTAAGATATACCTGTAAGTGATAAACAAGCCAGAGTGGTGATAACTACCAAAAATTCTCTGTGAAATGTAAATAGTTAAACATGTTATAAACATTTAAGGTATGAAGTGAGTTTTAATTTAGTGAAGTTCATAAATCTGTGCAAATGTTTCAACTGAAATATGAAAAAACATATACTAGAGTTACATGCTATGAAAAATGGGCATGGAATTTTTTCACTAAGAAAAATGTATCAATGTCTCAAATATTGCATGGATTCTTCTAGATATTGTGACTGAATAATTATGTATTATTTTTCTTTGTTAACTGCAGAATAAATTTTCCTTATAGAAAACATTCATTTATTTCAATAACCAAGTTTCTTAGATAGTGTACTAGTTACTCAGTTTCTAAACTATATTTTTATTAACATAAGCAAGTGCCACCAATAAACATAAGCTAAAATGAAAAGGCTATTCACAAAATCCACAATATTACTAGCATAAATGCTACAATGACATACTGATCCTTATGTAACTTGTGAAACATTAATTATGTAACAAATTCCAAAATGTCTAAAATCTTATTTTCATTTACTACAAGTTTGCCAGGTTCCTTCTTAAAACATTAAGTAAAAACCATTTATCATCATTTGTCATGAAAATTTTAATTCAATTTTAAATCAAGGCAGGATGGTAATCTAAAAACTAATAGGTTAATCCTGTCATTAGTCAGGCATTATTAAGTTCTACTTTTTATCTCTATTTTTATTGATGAAGATTTAAGCAGTATTCTTCATCCTGAACAGTTGCTAGTGGGAAATATGGTTGATGAACAATATGATCACATTAATTCTGAGCTTATTAAGAAAAGAATTTGGGAAGTTTAAAGAATCATAAGCCTGCTGGACCAGATAATATTTCCACAACTGTTTCAAAGAAGCCTGAGGATTGGATATATGTGCCACTTGCTATTATAATCTTTTTCTCCAGTAGTGGGCAGATGCCAGAAGATTGGATGTTTGCTAATGTTCTGATAGGTAAAATCGAATAAAGAAGAGTGAGAGGCAGACAGCCTCACTTGGTTCTATGACTATGAGAATAGCATTAGAAGTTAAAACAGAAAATGGATCGAAGATGAACAGCCTCAATTGCAATATTACTGGTGGAGTAAAATATACAGAACAACAGTCGTCGATTCTTAGAACTAGGGAGGGCACCATTATTAGAATCATATAATTCATAAAAAAATATTTCATTATTTGACTGTTTTAAAATAGAGCTAGGCCTACTTAGTAGTATATATTAGTATATAACAACAATCATGATGTTATACAAGATTTAGTACTAGTGCCTACCTTATCCTAGAGCCCATTTCGAACGTTTTTTACATACTAAAATCATGTTGACATATTAAATTTGATAAACACTAAGTTGATGTCTATATAAGCAAACAAAGTTAGAAGAATTTCAACAAAAATTGCCGGAGATACATTTCTAGTTCTACTAACAGTAACAGACAATCTAGCGTCAGTCTCATGTTTTTGTAACCTCGGCCTCAGTTCTCATTTCACGAACATTATAAAAAGAAAAATACAAATCAAACTTGCAAGTTTAAAACTATGAGGTAACAAAGGCGTCAAATGCTAGTTTTTTTTCAAATAATAAACATTTAATTTCCACAGTGTCGATAGAATATCAACGAAAGAATTTTTAAGAATTGCTATTGTATAAATTTCAGAACAATATATCATTATGGCCATAAAATATATACCAATGTATTACTTTTTATTTATATACACAACGATGTTGATTTAAAAGTAAACTATGGCATTTCTTTATTTACACAACTCCCCTCTCATGTGTATGTGTGTGTGTGTGTATCTATATATATGATTAGAAGATGATATTGTACTCTCATGTGGTTAAACTTTCAATAGCCTCTTATAGGTCCCCCAGTGGGACAGCGGTAAAACTTCAGATTTACAACGGTAAAATTAGGGGTTCAATTCCGCTCGATGAACATAGCAGATAGCTCAATGTGGCTTTGCTATAAAAATAAAAAACAAACAAAAAAAAAACAACACTGAACCAAACCCTTGATCTTAGCGTTGTATTTATGATGTAAAATATGCGCAAAAAGTCAGATTTAAAAGTACACGAGCTGTTTATTAAAACAAGCTTTAAATTTAATTATTTATGAAGCAGCTTACACCTTTATCTCAAAATTACTTTTACTTTTCGATTTAAAAATACTTTAAATGGTCAATAAAATTAAGAATATACTTTAAGTTATTAGAAGTATCCCTGGTAGAACTCTTGAGGATTATATACTTTATTGAAAATAGTTGATCAAAGCACTCGATAAAAATAATGTATATCAATATTAAAATATCTTGAAGTTCAAAATATTTTTATTAATTTTTTTTACTTTTCACTTTACTGAGGTCATACCTACTATGATACTATTCAGTAGATTTTTAATTTGATAGATATCTATTCAATAATTTTTCGCTATAGAGATAAAAATATTTTGAAACTAAAACTTACTTATCAGCACTTTAAATACATTTCCTCTGTCGCAGCCTGATACTGACAAATCCTTTCAATCCGTGTTATTTTGACATAGACGAAGTAGTAAACAGTTGTTTTTGTTCTTTTGCGAAAAGCTATTTGCACTCTGTAAACTGCGAGGAATCAAACCTCGGATTTTTTAGCGTTGTAAGTTTGTAAATTTACCGTTGACCTATCAGTTGACCTACTAGTTATCACGGTTTTATTTATTTATTTTTAACTTTTAATAGGATGAAATTCTGTGCTAAAACTAATTGTATAGGTACAATAGTTTATTCTTTGAGCAACTTATAGATGTATTATTGTCTTGAACTTAGGTTCACCAGAAGTTATTTTATATTGAAATATAATAAAATCAGTCTTTGATGACGTTGGTGTTGTTAAGTGCAAAGCCACACAATGAGCTGCCTGTGCTTTGTCCATCACGAGTATTGAAAATTGATTTCTAGTGTTCTAAGTATGTACACTTGACACTGAGTCGCGGGGAGGTAAGTCAGTGTTTGTAAAATTTAAAGGTGGTTTGGATTATAACTATTATAAGCTCATTATTAAAAAAAACACCTCCAAAAATTGTCCCAGTAGTTCTGTGTTAATCTTTCAATATAACGTTAACTGGTTTGTACAAAAATAAACATGTTTGTTTACAAATCTTGTGCTATCCGAGAACAAGTTTGTTTCATATCATGCGTCAGTGAATAAAGAGAAATATCGTGACATATATTTATAGTTTTGATTTACATATATTTCTATATAATCTAATAAAAAAACATACATAAGTCTGATATTAACATAAAATTAGATATTTTGATTTAGTTAATATTTATTTTGCATTTAATCGCATGTAAGGTGTTGCGAAGAATATGATTGATTTTACGGGAATTACACTTATGAGGCTTCACTGTACGTAACCTTTGCAAATCAAAGAGAAACACTCAATTTTCCCATATTTTTTAATATTCACATCTACCTATATGCGTGTGTTTATATATATAGATATGATTTTGTTATTTAAATAAATCCATCAAAATACCATTGAATGAAAGAAATCCTATTTTCTACACTCTCTTTCCTTTAGATTTTAAATTTAAGAAAACTGTTGGGAATTTTTATACTATTGGCAATTACAATGGTTAAAAAATTATTGGTTCTGAAAAGCAGTTTCTTTAAACAAGACTACGTCTGGAATAACTTTATCATACACTTATGTTTGATTTTGACCCGGCATGGCCAGGTGGTTCGGGCACTCGACTCGCAATCTGAGGGCCGCGGGTTCAAATCCCCGTCACACCAAACATGCTCGCCCTTTCAGCCGTGGGGGCGTTATAATGTGACGGTCAATCCCACTATTCGTTGGTAAAAGAGTAGCCCAAGAATTGGTGGTGGGTGGTGATGACTAGCTGCCTTCCCTCTAGTCTTACACTGCTAAATTAGGGACGGCTAGCGCAGATAGGCCTCGTGTCGCTTTGCACGAAATTCAAAACAAACAAACGTTTGATTTTATTAAGTGACGCCAGAATGTTGTTACTTCACCTGATGAAGACAAACGTAAGTGACCCAGAACATTTTTTCCCACCTTATCATTTTCAGGCAGGTATTACCTACCAAATCACTGAAAGAACACAGTCTACTAACGATAATTATCTCTTTTAAAATTTATTTTCACGATGTCACAATTTTTTTACATTTTCATCCGAACTTAACCATAGAAATAAGTGAAATAACTTAATTAAAATTTGCAGTATAGAAAATTAATTCACCAAATATTTCTATAAATCGTTAAAAACGGAAACTCTCAGCTGAAATTTACAACATTCAACATAAAACTTGAAATCATCCATAATTATTTAACAAATACCTCCAAACCACTTTAAAAACGTGTAGTATGCTATAGAAGTACATAGATGGCCGTTGTAAAACCGTTAAATATAGAAATTATAGGATTAGAATTCAGAACCAGAAATTGTTTGTTTGTTTGTAATTAAGCACAAAGCTACACAATGAGCTATCTGTGCTCTGCCCACCACGAGTATCGATACCCGGTTTCTAGCGTTGTAAGTCCGCAGACATATCGCTGTGCCACTGGGGGGCAACAGAAATGGACAAAAGAAAATGAATCACAAAAACAAAACGATCTGTGTACTGTTCATACACAACGTATGATTTTTGTTAAGCATCAATGTAAACAGAAGAGTTTGTTGTTTGTAGATAAACTTTCAGACTTACCACTGAGCCACTGAGAGCCATAAACAAAAGAAAACAGCAAATAAGATAAATCAGTTTTGCTTAAAAATAAATAATCAAGTAAACAACTATAAAATTTTGTTAAAATAGTTACAAACTTAAAGTTGCATACTAAGAATAAAAATAGGATATTCATCTATTTTATTTTTATTTCTTAACCAGTAACTCGTGGTCATATCTGAAATAAATATTAGTTAAGGTTTGGTTTAAGTTTAGCGTAAAGCTAAACACCTAGTCAATACCACCCACCGCCAACTCTTGGGCTCCTCTTTTACCAACGAATAGTGGGATTGATCGTACTTTATAACGCCCCCATGTCTGAAAGGGTGAGCACTTTAGATGTGACTGGGATTCGAAACCGCGACCCACAGATTGCGAATCAAGTGCCCTAGCCACCTGGCCAGTTATAGTTACTAAAATACATAAAAGATTGAATTATGCCTTGAATTTCGAAAATCAAGTTATTTTTTTATGCAGGTATACGATTTATCAATAATTTAAGAATAATTTGACATTATGCACATAAATTAGATTGACTTTCATCCCTAAGCCTTGCTCGAGCCATGCGCAATGTTGAAATTTTCTCATTATTCAGGAGAATAAACTAATAGATAGACATAGGAGTTAAAGGAGCGAAAGATGTAATTCAGCATCTTACTCCAAGTCTAATTTGTAAGTGATTCATAAAATCCTAATTACATCTCAATCTTACTCCAAGTCTAATTAGTAAATGATTCATAAAATCCTAATTACATCTCACCAACTTAATTCAGTTCAGACCATAACGGTTGTTGTTCATGCTATTTGATAATATAAATAGCGTCTGAACCACTACTGTGTCTATCGTATCCCAGCTGGCCTGAAGAGCTTTGGTATTTGGCGAAAGAACTTGTCGGCACTTGATATAGCATGTATAATGTGGTTGATATATTTTTATACATTCTTTTTCTTTATGTTAACTTATAAATACTTAGAATTATCTTTGTCATCTACTGCAAGTGGTTCAGTAGCATGGTAAGTTTTTTTTTATCTGTTGAATAATACCATTTATAATTGGCCCTTCTAAAAGCATGCACCAGAAGATTTATCCATACAATTTATAACTGGCTTTTCTAAAAGTATGCATCAGAAGATTTATCCATACCATTTATAACTGGCTTTTCTAAAAGTATGCATCAGAAAATTTATCCATAACATTTATAATTGGCCCTTCTAAAATCATGCATCAGAAGATTTATCCATATCATTTATAATTGGCCCTTCTAAAAGCATGTATCAGAAGATTTATCCATACCATTTATAATTGGCCCTTCTAAAATCATGCATCAGAAGATTTATCCATACCAATTATAAGTGGCTCTTCTAAAAGTATGCATCAGAAGATTTATCCACACCATTCATAATTGGCCCTTCTAAAATCATGCATCAGAAGATTTATCCATACCAATTATAAGTGGCTCTTCTAAAAGTATGCATCAGATGATTTATCCATACCATTTATAATTGGCTCTTCTAAAAGCATGCATCAGAAGATTTATCCAACTTACTGGTCCACTTCAAATGCGTTATAATTTTAGTAACACATTACAATTGAATGATTGTACAAGATCGTCATTTAGTGTTCGAGAACTAATCATTCGCTTCAAGAAGACCATCAAAACCGTTTTCTTTCTTAAAAATTATCGTAGATTCAGGTATGTGAGGAATGTATAGTTTTTGTGAAGTAACATAAAATACAATCTTACAAAGCTAGTGATGCACTT